TGCAGTTTTTGTAAAAATACAGTAAGAATGCTAGACTGACTTTGTTTTAATTCAATGAAAAACCTGAAAGTTTAATGAATTATTAAATCTAAAACATAGCTAAAATCTTTCTGATGTATGAGTGACTAAAATAGCTAGAAGGTGCAGATTGTACAAAGTACAGTAGTATAAAAAACTAAAAACTATAGTGCGAATGCTGTTTATTCATTCAACTCTAACAAGGTTAAGTCGGGTCCTGTGGACAAATTCTTCTTTGTTGAAATGTTTTTGGTTTGTTTGTTTTATAATCATTCAAATTTTGAAGAAAATAATTGAAAGAGCAACTGACAATGCAACCCACGGAGCATGTGGAGGGGCATTAAGTGGATTACAGATTAGGGACTCATCATTGCCTGATGCCCTCAACAAGTTCTGTGCACACTTTGAAGACCTGAACAGACCACCCAGCACCAGACTCACCTCACCACCAGAAGAGGTTTTTCATCTCAGCTGAAGTGAGGAGTACTTTCAGGATTAATCCTCACAAAGCAACTGGTCCAGACAACATCCAGGGGAAGGTGCAGAAAGACTGTGCTGATCAGCTCTGCAGGGTGCTGGCCAACATCTTTAACTCCTCCCTCAACCTGGCAACAGTTCCCACCTGCCTGAAGACCGCCACCATCATTCCATTTCCATAGAGCTCTACAGTGACTGGTCTGAATGACTATCGGCCAGTAGCCCTCACCCCTATAATCATAAAATGCTTCGAAAAACTGGTCATGACCCACATCAAACCAACCATCAACATCAATGAGGACACTCACTAGTATGCATTCTACAAAAATTGATATACAGAAGACACCATCTCCTCTGTGGTCCACACTGCTCTCACCCACCTGGAGCAGAAGGACTCCTACGTCCGTATGCTCTTTGTGGACTTAACATCTGTCTTCAACACCATGATTCCTCAGACTCTGATGGACAAACCACTCACACTAGGATTATGCCCCTCCTGGGTCCTAGACTTTTTAACCAACAGACCACAGTCTGGGAGGATCCACAACTTCTCCTCCACCATAACCCTCAGCACTGACTCCCCCCAAAGGCTGTGTGTTGAGCCCCCTTCTGTTCACTCTGCTCACATATGACTGCACACTTACTCATCCAGTCTGTCATATTGTAAAGTTTGCAGATGATACAGCGGTGGTGGGATGCATCACAGACAATGATGTGTCCGGCTACAGGCAGGAGGTGGAACACCTGGAGAGCTGGTGCAGGAAGAACAACCTTCACATCAATGTGAAGAAGATGAAGGAAATAGTCGAGGACTTCAGAAGGAACAGCAAACACACCTAACACACACACACACACACACACACACCAGAATATAGGAGAATCAGGAAGTGGTCTCTAGTTACAAGTACTTGGGTGTGCACCTGGACAACAACCTCAGCTGGGGCAACAACACCACCAACCTGATCAAGAAAGCTCATCAAAGACTCTATTTCCTCAGGCGGCTGAGACGAGCTAGTCTGGGAATCTCAGTCCTCACCTTCTTCTACAGGTTTGCAGTGGAGATCATTCTGTGCTCCAGCATCCATGTGTGGCATGGAGGCTGCACAGCTGCAGAAAGAAAAGCTTTGCAGAGAGTGGTGAAGGCTGAACAGAAGTCTGTTGGAGTCAGCCTCCCCACCATCACAGACATTTACACCTCCAGATGCAGGAAGAGGGCCACCTGCATCATGAAGGACCCCACTCACCCAGAACACACACTTTTTGCCCCACTCCCCTCAGGCAGAAGGTTGAGGAGCATTAAGTGTAGAACCACTAGACTAGACAGGGATTTGCCTGTCTAAATAAAGGTTGAATGAATGAAAGACTGAGAAACAACTTCTACCCTGAGGCTGTTAGACTCATGAATCCCTACTCAGGATTATCACTGTGAAAAAAAAATGACTTTAATTCCACTTGATTGTTGATATGTTTTGCTGACTATCCATGCTGCTGATCTCATGCTGTTGATTTATTTCATGTTGCAGTGTTCATTCATACTCATCTACTCACACAGACTCATGTTTGTGCCGCTGTTGTTTGGTGTATTGTTTTGCACTATTAGGTGTTTAGCGTATTTCTTAGTTCATATCTTAGATCTTATTACAGTTTTTCTTTTACATTTGATATTTTTGATCGATTTAACTGGGACCCTGTGTACACAATTTCATTCATGTACCACATGCAATGCGAATGACAATATAGAACCTTGACCTTGACCTAATAAAAATAATAGTGCTTTGTATTGTAAGAATCTTCCTTTTTCCTGGACTTCATTGAATTTGTTCAGCTTATTATTGTAAATCTCTGAAAATCATAGGGTCCAAACAGAAGCATGGGATACAATACCATGTTTTGGTCCTTTTGAGCTAACAAAAGAGATCCAGGCTCCAAACCTGTTGGAAAAGTTTTTTTTTCCTGCCACTCTTCTTGTGTAGATGAGCTTGTAATAGGGCCACATAATTACCAGTGGCTCCCTCACAGCTATGCTCCAGCTCAGACGCCCAGAGCTCCCATTATCCACAATGCAGCATGTGCTCTTAAATATCAGACACCTCTTTGTGCCAGAGGCCTGAACGCCACTTTAGCCTGTGGCATCCCTTCCATCTTTAGGCTGTGCACGCATGTGCAAGATCCGTCAGCACAATGTGCACTAGCGCTAGGGAAGAATTAGTGTCTTCACTATTTTATTATCAACAGAAAAACCCACCTACAACTACATTCATATGTTATGTATAATGTTTACTTTCTCTGATATGTGTTCTGGTGATATATGTCGCTGCAGCTCACAAGCTATTCTACTGAATGCTAACAAAGCAGTTTCATTTTATTTCATTTTTTTATGTTTTTTTTTCTCCTTCCGTTTCAAAATTTGCATCCAGAATCAATTTATTTTTACTCCAACCCCAGGAAGATTTTAAACAAATGTTGAAGGATTAAAAAAAAAGAACAGATAATAAGTCATGTACCTCAATCAGTTTCGTTTAAAAGCCTCAAGCCTTTTAAGTTTAACCAAAATTGTTGCCACGAGCAGAGAGAGGGTAAAAAAAAAATCCAAGCATGTAACAAAAAATATAGACAATGTCAGTTTTACTTAAGTACAGAAAAGAACAGGTATTTTTTTTAGGCACCAGCTATTTCTGTTAAGTTAATTTATGAAAAATGGCTCCATAATTGAAAAAAAAAAATTACATTAAAAAATGTTATTACTTAATTTAGATAGAAAGTTTGAAAAATACTACTCCTGACTCGTTCAGTTGGGATCACAAATCCAAATTTTGAATGAAGAAAAGTTTCAGCTGAGCAAGACTGACAGCCCAACTATGCTCATGATTAAATCCAAATTCTTGTGGTGTTCAATAAAATTTACATTTAAAAATCATAAATGGTTTGCTGTTGTTAGGCTGACTGGTAACTCTAAATTGTCCCTAGGTGTGAGTAGGGACTAGTGTTATAAGCAGTTTGATTAAACCCTGAAAATACAATTATGCACAATTTCATGCAATCCAACAATTTTCAGTCAGGTCATCTGGACAGTTTATTTTTTTGCTGAAACGTTTCACCTTCAATCCGGAAGGCTTCATCAGTCAAGGAAACACACAACACAAAACTGATTTGTCCCCCTTTTTAATTTCATGCAATATTGTAATTTCTTGTGAGATACTGTTTGAGTTTGCAGTTTGTGTTAAATGGTAAATGGACTGTACTTATATAACACCTTTCTATCTTATCAAGACACTCAAAGCTCTTTACAACACAATCTGTTCCCTCAGTTACCCATTCATACAGCACTCTACTAGATCTCTAATCAGTGTTTTAATCACATTCATACACTGATGGGACAAACATCGGAGGCAATGAGGGGTTCAGTGTCTTGCCCAGAGACACTTCAGCACATGAATGCTGATGGAATCGAACCCCCAACTCTTGCATTGGAAGACGACTGCTCTAACCACTCAGCCACAGCCACCTGTGTTGTGGATGACTGCCAGCTACTACCACACCAAAACGTTGCTCAGTACCTATAAGATTCACTGAGTTATAGCCATGTCTGTGTCTGGAAAGTTGATTAGCTGTAGCTTGAATTGGTTTGACACCAAAAGGTGATCAGTTGTAGAGGTGTGTTCAATGATTCTGAGAGTTTCACTAAAACACATCCAGGGGTTCATCCCTTATTTTGTTAACAGAGAGGCAGACAAACAAACATGCATACCAGTACACAAACACACACAGCTTTCATGCTTTGTGCGGAATAAAAATTGAACTTTTTTTTAAGTCAAAGCACTTCTGTGACCTTGCAAAGTGTTGTTATACTGAATATAGAGCGGCTTATGCTGGCCTTGATGTTATCATCTGTACATTGTGAAGCTTGTATTTGACAAGTAAGCCCTCAGATATCATTCACCCATCAGCACAGAGTTAACTGCAACAGTATGTGACATGTTCTGCAGCTGTCCCACTTGTTCACTGAACTGTGAAAGTGATGGGTGTTAATTTTGACATAGCAAAAAGACAAGTTTTTATTATTATATATTTTTTATAGATCTGAGTTTCTTATCGGCTTACTGTTAAGTTAATACAGCAACATTTCATCAACATTTCAGCACACAAACAGACAGAAGACCTGCAGATCTTTCAGAGCTGATATTCTGCATTACTGCTTTGACTGGTAAACTGTTTCATGAGCAAATCCAGAAAAAAAAAAAAAAAACTAATCAGCGCAAAAAAAAAAAAAAGAAAGTCAATTTACGCTTCACTGATCTGTTTATAAACCTGCTGGGAAGAAAATTTACAAAATGATTCTGCCTCTGAGGTGGGACGAAATGCTTGACAGCAAGTCCATTTCAATTGTAAATTTGGGAATGAAGACTTCTCTGAGCCTTAAGAACATTTGTAGGAACTCAGGCACCAAAAAAAGAGCAGCAAAAGGATTCAACAGACAAGATGAGAAGGAATTCTCTGGATCTTACCGTTATCCTTGACAGAGAAGTGGAAGACATCAGAGGTGGTGTTTTCATCATTCCTCAACACGTAGCAGATGTTCAGGTCATCAATATCAGCTGAAAATAGGGAAAAAGGTGTATTTTATTGTTGTAACTGAAGCAATCACAATTCATTCAACCTTTATTTATACAAGTTAATCCCATTGATCCTCTGGGACTCATTTACAAGAGATGGATGAGTTGCAATGAGATGGATGTGAAACAAACAAATGAAATCTTTGCATTCCTTGAATAAATCATTATTAACCCATGGCTTTCATGAAAGAGTTTTAAACTAAGCTAATCGCATCTTGGAAAAACAAGTGTTTTCACCTTTTTGTACAAATATAAAAAACAACTCTTAAGCTCAATTTCATGCAATATTGATAATAAGATCTGTGTACAGTCTGTTAGTGTGTGTGAGAGTGATAGCTCTCAGCTAATACCACAATGAATTTTAAGTTCAAATCTGTAAAACAGAGTGAATTATAACCATGTTTGTGTTTGCTAAGGTTGACTAGTGGCAGCATCTTGAGTTGTTTATTTCAAAAGGCAATCCGTTTTAGATATGCCAGTTTTTAACAAAGCATGATCTGTTAGTGCTCAAAAGTATGTGTTTTGTTCTGTCCCTGCTACTACCACAACACATTTTAGTGCAATATCTGTAAAAATTAAAAAGTTAATAGGTCTATAGGCTGTAGCAGCCATTTTGAATCAGGTTGTTGATAAGCCTATCACGATAACAAATTATGCTGGGCGATTAATTGTCTCAGAAATTATTGCGATAGACGATAATACTGTTTGAAATTTTACAATAATTAGTAATTATTGTCAAATTTAAGAAAAAATGTTGGTTAATTTGTTTTGTGTGTAGTACCTTTTTTCGACCACCCGATGGCAATATAAGACTATTTGAACCGAAGGATGGATAGTGAGAAAACGAGCAGCATGTATCTTTAAGAAAAATGGGAGGGAGGCATCTTGACGTGACATGGGCTGTCTTTCCTTCCTTTATTCGGTTCTCAAAATGGCAGATGCTCAGTGTGGTTTGAGCTCTTTAGCATAGCATTTTTCACACAAAGCTTTTAATTAAAAACAATCAGTAAACAAGTTCTCATCTTCTTTGTGCAGAGAAAAACAACTTTTTACACAAATGCACAGGTTTCAACCATGAATTGGGGAGTTTTGACAAGACTGAGATTTTTTCCCGAGGTCGGCATGTTAGCCTAGCTTTTAACTTAGCCTCTCAGCTTAGCTGCTTTTAATGATACCAAAACGTGATTTTGGACGGTTAAATTGATTTTAAAGAAAAAGAGAAAGGGAGGGGTCAGTAACGGAGTTGATCATTTTGTCATCCAGTGTCTTCAGTAGAAAGAGAGAGACATGAAGAAATAGATAAAGCCGCTACATGAAAATGAGGTTGATAATTTTCATTTATCATGCGATTAATTGATTTGTTTATCACAACAGGCGTAGTTCTTGATGTCAATAATTGGTCAGCTTTAGGCGTACATTCAGGGATAACTTTATGAGACTTTCAGTAAAATCCATGCAGTAGTTCATGACATATTTTGTTAATACTACAAAAAGACTTGTGCAGAAATGGACAGAACATGATCACCTTTGTCTTTTGTAAAAGGCAATATGAACATGAGCTGATGCCTGATAGAAGCTAAAAAAAAAAAACTGATAAAATATAAATGGCATGTGGAACAGATATGTCCTTGTCACCATTTAAAGTCATGTTTAGAAAATAAAATTTGCATTTTGAGATAAAAAAAAAAAACTTTTGTGTTGTTTTTTTTTTTCATGTCATGTTTCATGCTGACTACAGAAATAGCCTCAAACACACTTTGAAGTCGTATTGCAGCTTTTCGGCTTGTTCAAACACTCTCTCCATCAAATAAGTGTTCAAAGAGACAAGTTGTCCCGCTTAGCAAACGTATCGGCTGCAGTAACAGCAGGTCTCTCATATCACACTGATTCAATTACTTATCAGTACGCAGCGTGAACAATTTCCTACCAGAGGAATCATTCTGAAAGTCATGCATCCCTTAATCCAGGACGATAAGGTGGCGAACTGAAAGTCCTACAGAGCTTGAACTAAACCAAAAGCAAAACATTTTAAATCCAGAACCTGACAGCTGCCTGCATCAACACCACTGGAAAAAAAACAAAAATAAAAACAGGTGATGGTGTATTTTAATGACAGACGAGGTAAGAATGTTAAAAACAGGATTGTAGCGGCCACCACATCTGTTTTCTTGATTTTGTGCAGAATTACAGGGCTTTGCTTGTTCTTCTTTTTTTTCCTTTCCACAAAACATCTATTACAGTGTAGAAAAATCATCAACACTGTAAGAGCTTGGCCCCTGCAAACCATCTCTTTCAATAATAGATGTCAGCGGAAGGAGGTTCATTAAAGTGTAAACCTCTGATGTTTTGACTGGGAAGCCTGCCTCTTCCTGCAGGTGACCGATGCTGCTCCTTTTGCACTGATATATTTAAAAAAAATCTATATTTATGTCTTATTAAGTGATTATTCTGGTTTTCTGCATTCAGGTCAGCACTCTGCAGAGATGCAGGGAGTGGATCCTCTCTGCGACACAGACTTGAACCTGAGGACCTTACAAACACAAACTTCACACTGGGAACCGGGGGGGGCACACTGCTCATTCAATATTTAAAGAGAACGCCTCCTGGGAAGTGCCCTGGACATGTGACGGGTAAATAAAGAGCAAGGGATTGTCTCTTTCACCTGACTGACTCTTCTGACGAGCCAACTTGGTCTCTCTGATTTAAATCTCTCACAACCCCCCCCCCCCCCCATACACACTAACTCTTTATTTCTCCAGTGCCACCTGCATCACCTCAACCCTCTCCCAAAGCACCTGCTTTGCACTCTCTTCCCCCTCATCTGCACTTTGTTTCCACTCTTTTTGTCTCCGTGCCTTTTTGGTTTTGTCTTTTGAAAACCTGCCGCACAGTTTTTGTCAGAAGTGTCTGCAGGCTCAAGAGCTCTTTCTGGCTCTGTGTCCTCACCGCATGTCTGTGCTTACACCAAGAAGCAGGTGGATTTCTCTCACTCGCTTGCCTAATTGGCTCAGCATGAAGATTACATTGCTTTGAGCCACAATCAGCAACATTGTTGTCTCCATTCTCTTTGCAATATCAGTAAACAATCACGCTTGTGCAAAAAAGAATTTAAAAATATGTAAGTTCATAGAAAGTGACGTCACTGACTCTGGCGGTGAATACTGTAGTCATTTAATTGCCAAGAATCACAGATGTTCAAGACACACAGCTTCAATTAACTGCTTCAAAGTGACCTGACCTGGTGAAGCTATCAGAATCCACTGCAACTCAAATACCATCCTGTCACTTTGAGATCTTCACTGACCTTTTTACACAATCCTCTGCTTCTGCCCCGCTTCATTTAACAGACCTCCAAAGAGAACATCGGATGCGAACATTGTCCCCGAGATGCAGAAATTTTCAATTATTCATCTTTAACGTCTACAAAACATCAGCCTCTATCTTTGGTCTGCTAATTATGACTTGATGAGCAAGACACGTCTAAAACAGGCTTGCAAAAATTAACTATTGAAATTCCCAAGTTAGTGCTTGTCACACATGCGAATTATACCTGCATAAATTAAAATGGTTGAGAAGCAAGTGTGAAAAATTAATCAAAATTAACTGATTGCATGAAATTTGAGCTTTTGACTTTAGTGTGTCGCTTCAGTTTCAAATGACACATTGTATGATTCGATTTTTTTTTTCATTCACAAACACATTAGAGCTAGAATCACTTCCTTAACCAAAAAGTCACAGTAATGGTGCTTTTAAAAACTGTTTTTTGTGTAGTAGAAACAGGTATAATTTTGCCTAAAGCATGGTAAAGTAGTGGCATTTTAAAAGCTAAGATTATTTAAATATTAAGTGGAAAGATGATTGAGGGGATTTTCTGGAGCAGATTCAATAAAATTGGCACCAAGTTATCATAAAAGCATATGCATAATTGGTTTAAGCAAACTTTCTAACTATCCATCCATTCATGATCTTTTACCCGCTTCTTCTTTTTCGGGTCACAGGGTCACTGGTGCCCATGTCCAGCTATCACTGTTCGAGAGGCAGGGGACACTCTGGACAGGTCGTAAGTCCATCACAGGGACACATAGAGACAAATGAGACAAACAACTATTCACACTTTCACTCACACCTAGGGACAAGTTAGAGTTACCAATCAGCCTAACATGCATGTTTTTGGTCGGTGGGAGGAAACCAGAGTACCCAGAGAAAAGCCACACATGCAAAGAGAGAACATGCAAACTCCACCCAGAAAGACCCCTGAACCGGGATTTGAACCAGGGTAACCTGCTTGCTGAGAGACAGCAGATCTACCAACTGTGCCACCATGCTGCCCACTTTCTAACTACCATATTTAAGTAAATTTCAATCTGTTTTTTTTTTCCCACTTAACCAATCTTGTTTATATTTTAGAGGCTGATGTTGAGGGGCATATGTTGTGCAAAGTAACTAGTTAAAATACCGATGAAGAATTTGTAAAGAGCTTACCTTGACTAAAGGTGTCAATGGAGCTGTTTCCATGTCCAAGGTTAACGACGTAGCCATGTTTGGGTGGAGTGTTGATGTTGAACACCAACGAGGTTGGTTTACTGTTCCTGTCATCTGCCTTCAACACATTCGGGCTGATAGGGAACCCCAAGAGACCTGTAGGTAAAATCTTTAAAGTGGGTGCACCTTTATTCACCACAATCTGGGGGACGCCATTGTCGATTGTTGCTATAGTGATCTTCATAGTCTGAGGATGCCTAGTCTCAAAAACTGTGTTGGGGAAAACATAGAAATCAGTGTGCGTTCCATCAGTAACAGTAAAGGAGAAAGAGTCCTCTGACGATTCAGTCCCGTCATGTTTGTAGCTGATGAGATTTTCATTGAGGTCTTGTTTTGTGAAGCTGGTGACAGGTGTGGACTGGTTGTACAGCAGTTTGCCATGAACCGGCATTTGGGTGACAGTAAATTTGATCAGCCTTTCAACCGTGTCCTGGTCCTCAGCAGTGAGCTCAAATGGTGTAATTAGCTTCAGCTGGCCTTCTGTGACGACCAGGGTATTCACTGTTACAACAGGTTTCTTGTTATCAACATCCACGATCGAGATTCTAAATGTTCTGAAAACGGGGTTGTAGCCATCAGTGACTTCAAACTCAAAACTATCCATTTTTACTTCATCGTCTGATGTATGGATGTAGAAAACCTTACTGCCAGCCAATTGGAGCTGACTAAAAGATACAATAGGCATCCCAGGAGTATCTGTGCACTCCAAGTGACCTCTGATAGGGGCCCGTGTGACAGTAAAGACCAAGTTCTCATCAGGGCTGTTAAGGTCAGAAGTGCTGAGTAGATTTGTGGTTAAAGTCACACTTCCACCTTCTCTTAGAGAAACACCTTTACTAACAACATCTGGGAAGATCATATCAATGCTGCCTATAGTGATATAGAAGTAGCGATCAATGAGTGGATTGCTTCCATCGGTGACATCAAATTTTATTAAGTCTCGGATACCTTCTTGCCCATTGTGCGTGTACAATATTAATCCTGCATCAATTTCAGCTTGTGTAAAGTTCATTCCAAATGTGATGTTCTGCAGAGACCCAGCTGGCGTTTTTCTCTGCAGGACACCCTGACCAGGTCCAAACCTGATAGTATATGTTAGCACACTGTCCTCTGAATCTAAATCTGTTGCTTTTAGAACTTTATTGTTAATCTCTTTAGTCTCTCCAATTTTTACTTCTAGGCCTTCATTAATAGACATGCTGGGGGTCTCGTCATCAACAGCAACAATCATAATCATAGCTGTTTTCTGCACAGAGTACTTTCCATCAGTCAGAGTGATATCAAAGCTGTCTTCTGTTGTCTCTGTATCATCATGCTCATAAATAATACTTGATGCCTCTTTAATCTGTTCCAAACTGAAATTTGTCACTAACACAAAGCCTGTGGACAGCTGATTTAAAATGGCACCATGTTTGGGAGGTTTGGAAACAATAAATGTTAGTTCATCGGGTGGACTGTCAACATCGGCTCCATTCAGAACTGACATGTCAATTACAGTGTTCATTCCCTCCATCACAACAATTTCCCTCAAGTAAATCTCTGGCTTTTCATCATTTTTTGGAATGATAACAATGGGAAATAAATGTTTCTCTGATAAATTGATGCCATCAGAGCACCTAAAAGTGAACTTATCTTCCACTGGTTCTACCCCCTTGTGAATGCTTTGCACATAGTAGATATTTCCTTCCCTTGTGTCTCTGAGGGTAAACGCACTGATAGCTGTTCCTGACCTTGACTTTTCTGAGCCTGGGGCGGGGGATTTATTTTCCACATAGCCTGCAGTGGGCTGGACCATGATCGTGCAAAGGATATCATCCACTGGAGTGTCATTATCATCAGCGTTCAAGTGCTGAGGGCCAATGGCACATTTCTCTCCTTCAGTAACACTGAACTGAATTCCAACTCCAACTTCAGGGGTCTGATTGTCAACAGGTAGAATAGTGACTTGAAAATGAATTCCTTTGACCTTATTGCCACCTTCTGTCCATTCATCCGACATGTCTGTAATTGTTAGATTGAATCCATCTTGCTGAGAAAATAAACCTATCTCACCACCAGTATGTGCATAAACAACAACTCCATTAATTATGTCCTCTAGTGTAAACCTGGTGGCAGGCACTCCTTTAACCAAAATTTCCCCCCAAACTGGAATATCTTCCATGATAAAGGTCAGCTGGAGGTCATCTGTATCATCATCATGACCTTGAATCACATTAGTTGTAATTACTGTGGCTCCACTTTCCAGTACATTCAAGAGGGATCCAACTGTACCAGCAGACAGTGTGATTTTTGGTGTTTCACCATCCACAGGTTTTACATTAACTTTGACCAGCACAGTCACAATATGGAAGCCATCACTGACATCCAGCTGAAATTCATCACCCACAGTCTCTTCTCCACTATGAACATATGATATTTTCCCCTCGGAGATATCATCAAGTTTGAAAACCCCATTTTTTTCCAGGTCAGTGAAACTGATCTGAATCTGACCATGTTTAGGGGGCTGACTCAGGGCAAAGGTTATTTTCTCACTCTCTGTGTCTAGGTCTGTTGCATCCAGCTCAGCAATGGTGATGATGTGCATGCCATGTTCAAGCACAGCAAAGCCAGTGTTTGTAATCTGAGGAGGGTTATTGTTGACTGGTTGTAGGTAGATTGTGAAAGCCCCCTCTGCACAGTTTCCAGCTGTGTCTTCCACTGTAAAGTGGAACTGAACAACATGGCTTGTGATTCCCAGCTCAACATCAGGAGGTGCATAGGATATCTTATGATGGTTGATTTGAGCTTGTGTGAACTCAGAAATATCAGTATCAGGACTGTCAGTCAGAACCAATGAACCAAAGACAACTGGGTTATTTTCATCTATATTTTTTGGGACCTGGATAACTGTGTATTTGAGGTCACGATCCTCAGAGTCCAAATCAGTGTAGCGCAGGAGTTCTTTGCTAAAGTGAGTGAGTTTGTACTCCTCAACAGTCATCTGTAGTGCCATTCCTGGGAACAGTTCAGGAGGCACATCATCAATAGGTAAAACATGAATTATGAAAGCGCTATCTCCAGACAAATTAGGCGGGTCATTGTCATCCTGTACTCTGAATATAAACTGATCCACGATTGCTTTTGTGTTGTGTGGGCCTGTGTGCCTGTAAAATAACTTCTCATCCGTAATGTCTTTTTGATGCCACTCTGTCACTTCCTTTTCATACATTTCATCCTCAGCATTAAACTTCCAAGAGGAGGGGTCCTCTGGGGCATCTGACTGCCGCAGAAGCACTGTGCCAATTGTGGAAAAAGGGGGAATGATTACAAATTTAATAGTTGAGTCTTCAGAGTCAATGTCAGCAGCACTAAGCATGATAGGAGATATGGGCATCATTTGATTTTTGAACAGCACCAAACCAGTGTTGGCATTGATAATGGGTGGCTCATCATCAGTGGGAACAATTGTGATGGGAAAAAGGAACGCAACCTCATTTGTCCCATCTGTCATCTTGAAGACAATGTTGTCACTGTAGGTGTCACTCCCATCATGCTGGTAGATAACAATCCCTGTGGTAAGGTCAGCAGGTGTGAAGAATTTCCTCTGAGAGCCCAGCACTATTAACTGACCATGCCGCAGCCCTTCCACTACCGTGACTGTGACAGCGTCCAGGCTGTCCTCATCGCTGATTTCCAAGTTATAGGAGCTGATGAGAGGCCGTGACTGGCCCTCGTACAGCAGCTGGCCGGTGTTACATCTGACCACCGGGGCTAGAGTGTTCATTGGCTTTACAACAATCATGAATGCAAACGGATCTGAGATCGCCTCCTCTGTGTCAATCACCTCAAACTCAAGCTGGAAAATCCTCTCTGTGTCAGAGTCCAGAGAAGGTGGGATGTAGGCTATTTTCAAATCCCACAAGTCTCTCTGGTTGAAAGATGTGATTGGGAGGTTTCTGTCATCTGTGCTAACGATGTAGCCCTCCTCATAAGATAAGGGGGAGCTGATGTTAAAAATGAGCTCATCTGGGTCCGACTCTGCATCCTCAGCAGCAAGCATCTCTGGTGTCAGGGCAGTCATGACAAACTGGCTCACCTCCATCATCATCATGGATACAAAGCTGGGTTTGGGGGGAGTGTTCTCCACACCATTCCTGATGCGAATCATGAGATGAAAATACTCCTGCTTCACCAGGTTGTCTTCCTTATCACGCAGCTCTAGAATCATAGGAATGTGGTCCCTATTCGGCGACTTGCCTTTAAATGTGTGCTCATAGCAGATTCCAGCTTGTAAAAAATCATCACAGTTCATCATGGTGGAAAGTTTGCCTCCATCGATGAGTTTCCCATATCTGGGCAGTGCACTGCTGCTGGATAAGGAAGTCACCTCACATTTGTAAAACTCTTTATCATAAGTAAACTCTAGAGTCTTCTTATCAATGGGATTACTAATTCCTTTGAGATTATCAACAGTGAGAGGCATGTTTTTTGTGAGTAACTCCAGCTGCGTAAAAAGCACTTCCACCTCCATCATAAAAGGGATGATCACAGTTTGTGTTTGAGCGTCATACCTGAGCTGCAGCCTCACTCTGTCTTTAGCAGGACTCCTCGAGCCGTAGTGGGAATAAATCACATCGCTGGGGCCGAAATCACACGGAAACTTTTTGGGGGAGAGATGCCCCGTTCTCTGCGAGAGCGGATCGTTATCCAGGACGGTGATGCTGCACCTGTCGCCCGGCTGCGTCTGGAGCACCAGATCATTGATGGGGTCGACGAGCACCGATCTCCCGAAAGGCACGCGTATTCCGTTGTTGGCCACCAAGATTGCGTCCTCGGAGAGCTCAGATCTGAGTGCGTAAAACAACCCGGAGCTGTCCGGCTGCGCGTGAACAAAACCTGTTACAGAAACGCAGCAGAAGCAAAGAAGCCCGCGGAGCAACATCTTCGCCTCCGAAAACACCGACTGCTGCCGGGCTGTTGCTCTGCTCCACACTAGAAAAAGAATACTAAAAGGTAAAGGTCCCTCCATAAATGTGAGTCAGGTGTGTCGCTGCACGGGGGCTCCCGCGCATCCATCCGTTGGAAGCGTCCACATGCTGAGGAAGAAGAGCGCGCATGAGTTTTAACTCCACGCGCCGAGCTGCCGCCCATCTCTGCGCATATTGGATCAGTTTGAGGGTTTGTGCGTTCAGCAAAGTGGCCAATGGGCAGCACAGCTGACTGTCACACTGAGGAGGGGACACAAACAGTTCATTTGACTTTACTCATATTACACTTTATTCTTTTATAATTTACAAAATGAAATATAAAACACTGATGTCATGAGCTGAACTCAAACCATAATGTTTCCAACTTTTATTTACGTCTAAGTTACGCAACAACGGGTCTATAATTAAAATCTTACCTTAATAATACAACTACATTAACTGCAAACGTCCCACTGATGTAATTATTGTCTTTAAATGACACTTCATCATGCATTAATGTAAAGTTACAATGATGACGTGGAAAACAATCATTCACGAAACTTTATACAGGAATTATTGAACATTTAAGTTATTTAAATTGATTGCAGATGATTTTGGTTATTTGTGATGAATACAGAAAAAATAATGTCCATGTAATTTTTTTTAGAATAAAAAAAAAAAAAAGTCAGGTTATGTGAAGGACATTTTCTTCTTTTCTGTTCCTCTTCCCCTCATGAAGCTTTGCATTTTGTTTAAGATCTTTCAGAATTGTTTAACTTTTTTTTATTAGCTATTGGTGCAACTGACTGAGTGAAATGAATGAAGGAAAACATAGTAAAAAAAGAATTTCTGTAAAACTTGATTACGATTATTCTTATTCTTCAGCTTCGGTGCAACCAAGTTATTTTTCAATTAAAATCCAATCATTAAATTTTATCTGATTATTTTGTATAGCCTCTAAAGAATTGGAGTAATGCAGACAGTCTGACTGACAGCATAAATAAATGCCTTTATGTTTTATCGGCTGATTAATTGAGCAACTAAACATTTATTTTCTGCTTCTCTGTAATATAAAGAGTGGGAATGCTTAATTTAAACCTATAGACCTTTTAAATGCTATTCAAATCTTTTGTGTAAAGAAAAGTTTCAGTGCATTTTTTAAAATAATTAATGAATGAATATAGTAAAGTCAATGATTTCCCTGCTAAAACAACGGTGGGGTCGTGACTTCACAGCAGGTCATGAAACGTCTAACTGGGGGTTATAAACTGATCCTCAGAATTTAAACTAAATTTGACGACACAGCACAGTTCAGCTTCACTTGCAAAAGAGATCAATTAAATTTTCATAAAGAAAATCACATAAAAAGCATCTTAAGTTGTTTATATTTTCATAAAGTCCTTGTTTAATTAACCTTTTACAACCTGTCAGTGAGAGACTGTTGAACTCAAAAAGGTCTGTTGGTGGTATTTTACTGGTTGCAGCTGAAAACAGTTTAGGAAGAATTGCTAAAAGATTTCATACAGAAGAATTACACAATGATAGTTTTAATAATCGGGTCTCTCTTATAAATGAGGCTCAATGGGATTTATCTGTCTAAATAATAATTGAATGAATTAAGCTCAGCACCAGACTTCAGTAAAAACTTTTTCTACTTGTATGCACAGAAAAAATGTGGCATCAATGTTGGATGCATGTAAAGAGTCAATTCAAACACTGTTATGTCAGTATCCATCACATTGCCTCTTGAAATTGTTGATGTATTATATCCTGAGGAAACTACTCATTTTAATTGAGTTCTTGGGTCCGGTCTTGTCAGAATACGCAGCTGAATGTCATCTCTGTACCAACACCAATGATGTAAAAGCTGAGCTTTGGGCTTTATTCCTTAATTAAAGAGACACTGTCATTAGTCAGTCCTGTTCTGGCTTATTAAACTTCTGAAATGCTCCTCATTTGCTCAGCTGTATTTCAGAAAGCTGCAATGTGATGACTCGTTTTTTTTTTTTATTGCCATGCGTGCGTTCATCCATTTATTTATTTACCTGTTTATTTTGAGGAATTCAGCATGGGCCTATAAATAATGTTGACTTTCCCTTAAGGAAGAACAAGACAGTAAAAACCTTACCAATGCCCATTAAATGAGGGGTAAAAAATAACCATGATCTTGTATTGTTTATCTGACACAAAAAGCTGAATTTCAAACTATTGCTGTAAGCAGCTGTATATGTATACATTCAAGTCAGACCAAGACGTGCAAAAAGACTGAAGAAATAGGGAAAATCTATCTTAGAAGTGGTGATTGGCAAAATACTGCAAAGTAAGATGGAATATGTTTGTAGTAATATAAACAATGTTGTCTTTTTTTTTTTTTTTTGTATTACTATACACCATGGGTGTCAAATACACCATGGGTGTCAAATTCACTTGGGGGACAAAATCAAATTTTTATCAAACTAAGGGCCAATTTCAGAATCTAGATGAACTCAAATCAGATACCCAACATATTTTCTTGGTCACAGGTTCCTCAACAAGAGTTTTATTGGTCTCATTTGATGTTCTCTGTTTTGGTTTTGACATCATAATCAAAAATTACTGGAAAAAAAAGTATTTTACGTTTCACATATCATCTTGGGGGCCAGATAAGACGTCAACGGGGGCCACATTTGGCCCCCGGGCCTTGAGTTTGACACATATGCTATACACCATTGTGATGGACTTGCGACCTGTCCAGGGTGTCCCCTGCTTCTCGCACAGTGACTGCTGGATATGGGCAGCAGTGACCCCCACAACCCAAAAAGGAAGCAGCGGGTAAAGATGATGGATGGATGGATGGATGGATGGATGAATGGATGGATGGATGGATGGATGGATGGATGGATTATGCACCACATATGCAATTAAGATTTGTAATGACTTTGGCATGGCTACTCTTAATACAAATACTTTTATTCAAACACAAACTATATTAAAATTTGGATCAGCTCGTCTCAGTACAAGCATCATAAATGCTATGAATAAATACGAGTCATTCATTCTGATACAGCCACTATCAGGCGACTGGCTGTAAACCAGTTGAAGGCTTTTTTCAATCGCCATAAAACTGATAACAAGTTTCCATCATGAATATTTAACAAGTTCCTCACTTCTAATTTCAACAGCCTTGAATCTTTTAAATCCTGAGTCTTAACCCATGTGTGACTTTTCAGTTCTTCACTGGTTCCATTTCAAATCCCAGGTGACTAAAGTGTTTCCAGAGCTTTGTTATTTCCACATACAAGGCAATGCCTGATTTTCAGCTGTCATTCATTTCATAAGTATTAACTTCACAGGACAAAGATCACCTGTGTTAGATTTACACTGTGTTAGGACTTTAAAACAGATTAAACAGAGCAAGCTACAGAACATATTAAAAATAGAACTTGGTACTACATTCTAATATATTTAAAACATTAAATAATTAGCATAATTTGTTTGATGGGCATCCTTCTGTGAGTCAACCTTCTGGATGGTCTGACTTTTGTTCTGTTCCTGTGTGACTAATTAACACCCAAACTCTGGCTCCTTTCTACCACTCTGTATCACCTGATAGGTATAATGAAACTTTTGGAAAGCTCAGCTTCACATTTGTAGTAGAGGATTCAGGGGTTCCTGCTGCACTGCAGCTGCTATGCCCTGATAAGGCCACATGTTGAGATTTTGAGGTCTGAGCCTGCACAACTCAGAGAAAAAACGCAAAACTGACAACTAATGTCATTGTGAGGGTCAGGTACATGCTAGTTTGTTGCATGTGCACAAAACCTTGGCATGCATGTAAAAAATAAAAAAATAAAAATAAAATAAAATAACATTTGAATGACACCAAGCATGTTTATTTCAGCAGAATTTACATTTATCCTCTAATGAGTAGTTTACAGGCTTGAGATTATTGTTGTTTGTACCGTATTTATCGGACTATAAGGCGCACATAAAATTATTTAATTTTCCCAAAAATCGACAGTGAGCCTTATAAATCCTGTGCACCTTATGTATTAATTCTGATTGTGCTTACTGACCTCAAACAGATTTTTTATGATACATGGCACTCAAAAATCTGTCAAAATGACCTTGTTTCGCTTAATGCGCCATATAATCTGATGCGCCTTATAGTCCGAAAAATACGGTAGGTGAATAAATGGAGCAAGTTATGTACATATATCACATTATGAGTAAGGATTGTCTTCCTGTGAGGGAAGCCTCACAGCACCAACAAAGCCTTTAAATTACCCACAGACACAATAAAGCTTCTAAATCCTGACATCAAAAACGCACCACCCACAGACACCACTTAAAGTCAAAACACCCCAAGTACATTTATTTAAAAGAATGATCAGCAAAGACTTAAGTTCACCACAAAATGAGTTTATGTAAGCATGAAAGGCCTTGAATTATTCAAAAGAATACATACAACCCCACCTTTCATGCCAAAGTTATGTCAAATATCATTTAATGATAACTGATGGGGTTGTAGCCATTTTGGTCAAACCTTGAATTTATTGCATTGTTTCATGAAATATCACAAGATTTCAGACGCATATCATGTTTAGTGATTAATTCACATCTACTGGAAATGACTGAGTCATAGCTATTTTTATGCTGTCGAATATTCTAACAAGGTAAAGGCAGGTCTTTATTAAATTGTTTCATATTTTATCCAGAAGACTTCTTCAGTCTGAGGAGCTGCAACAAGCTCAGTCTTATAAGCAGCACCGTCTCATAGTAACAGGATGTTGTGTATTTGACCCCAAGTTAGCAGACTGATAAGACACAGACTCATGAGTAAAAAGATAAGTGATGTATTTACAGAAGTGCAGGGAAAGTCCTGGGATGGAAGGGGAAAATAGGACAAGGTGAGAATGCGTAGATTTTTGAATTCCTGAAGAATGGAAATTGTTTGGAGATAGTTGTTTTTTTACTTCTGATTTGTTTTACAGGTAGTGGTGGAGAGGAGGGAGAAACGA